AAAAAATAAAAAGAGGACTCTTTTCCCTTGCCAGAACGTCTGTTCTTTCCACGGCCCCCACCTCTTCCGCCTTTAGGTGGAGGCTCAAGTGTGGAAAAGGAAGGTTGGAGTGAGAAATTACGAAAAACCGTGAGGAATGGCTTTAAACGTGCATCCGTAGCCGGAAGTTTCATCTGGCTGAGCACCGCCAAACCTTCGTTCAAGTAAATTCTTGCGCTTTTTTGTGTGTGCCAACGTCCTTGAATGAGGATTCGATTGAGGTTTTGGTGTTTCTGGAACCAAAATGTGGCCCCCCCTAGGGCCCTAGGGAGTACGGGCGGAACCCAAAGTCAAGGATCTTCAGGTCCTCTAAACACTTGTTAAAAAGTGCCCTCCACTTCGCAGGGGACTGTGTGAGGTGCGTGGAAGGAGAACAAGCCTGTTTCCAAGTCCGTACGACCCTGACTACCGGTTCGAAACCAAGGACCACACTCTCAGCGGCACCATGCCGCTTTCCACCCTTGGTCATGCCCAAGTTAATCAGAGCTTGCATGGCTCCGGGCGCGCACTCAATGTGAGAAGACAAGATCCCGAGGATCTCTCCAGTCCTCAACATACTGTAAAACCCGACAAGGAGCGACACGGCAAAAGAACCCCAGCCCTTAAAAATTGCCCAGCAACACATGGCATGAACGATGTGTTCTGGGATGGGTGGAGTTGTTGACGGTATCTCATTGGTTTGCCATGTCTTCAGGAGCCTCCAGGCTGCCGGCGTGTGAGTCCGCAGCCCCGGCTGCAGGTCCTGCAGCCCTGCCAGGGTATCGCAGGCCAAGCCCCTGCCGAACCCTTGGCACCAAAGATGCTCCAGGTAATCACAGACTAATGGATCAAGCTTGCTTTTATTTGTAGGTAGGGTCATTCCCTCGGCATGGAGGAAGGAAAGGAACTGGTCCACAGCCTTATCATACCTTTTGCGAGTGGTGGGTTGCACTGTCAACTGGCGAAGAGTTCCCAAACGACGACGTAGTTTTGCACGCTCTCCCGTGTAGCTCCCTCCAGAACCCGCTTAGGCATTCCTGAAGCGAGTTCGTACCCTGGTCCCCCACCGACTTGGCTTGTCAGCGGGGTTGGTGTCCGTGCTCACATACCCCCACAACATCTGGGAGCCGGTACATAGGAGAAGCGCGCTAACCTTTGCCATACTCCGTCGCAACTTTCGTGAACTCGTTCGGTCGCGTGTCAAGGCATGCAAACAGACCAATGAATCAGTCAGGCGCAGCATCCTGCGCCCGTGATGTCCCTGGTGTTCAAGGCGCCACCGCAACGCATTGAGGATGGCTCGAAGCTCTAAAGAGTTGATATGCTCATGCCCCCGTGTCCACCGCCATCCTGAAACGATTTTCCACTTCCAAAGCTTGGCAGGAACTGACGCACGTAGTCGGTGGAACTTTACCATCTGGGTCGTAGGTGTCGACAGCAAGATGCCCTCACCCTTGAGGCTGATGAGGTTTCCCAACTTGAACGCTAGGTCGTACTCGCTCCCTGCTCCCGCATCAACCTTTCGCAAAGGCAACCGCACCAATCGACCTTGAACCGATTCCGAGGACCCAGGAGCACACCGATTCACCACTGCTTGCGGCGTCAGAGGGAGAGCGATCCCGAGGCCTGACAGGAGCTGGTTGAGCAACCATCCAACTACTGGCACACTCCAAGAGTTACCAAGCAGGGTCAACCGCACGTCCAGGTACTCAGTCTTCTTCTTCTCACCTTTGGTGACGCAATTAGCAGTGTAATGGAGAGGGAAACCAAGAAGCACCTCACGCTCTGCCACCGATGGGACTCGGATGTTACCATGCTTGTCTGTGACTCCATGCCTGTCCAGGTATTGGTATGGTGGGAAACGATGGCAGTCATTGTGCCACCGCTGTAGCTCATGATCCTGACACTGCACAATGCCGGCGGGCTTGCGACCCGGTTTGTCTGATGGCCTTGAGGTGGTGAACGTTGGGAACGACTGCTCGGGTGAGACTTTGGTCCATCCTGGTTCTAGGTAGGAGTCAACTGGCTGGAACCCGCGTCGATGTGGACAGGGAGCTCCCCAAAGTCCTCCGACATGACCTTGCGATCCTCCTCATCCATGGAACTGACCGATTCCATCAGAACATGGACTGCCGCCCACGGAAACTGGCTCTGGACTAATCGGCGGACACGCGACACGTGGACAAACAGCGACGATCTGGCGCCACGGCGATCGGAGTTCAGCCCGGAGACCCCCTGACAGGGGGGTCCAGCTCCTATAATCACCAGGCTACACTGTGAAGAACGTAGGCTCCATTCAACCACCGTCGACTCCTCAACACCTTCCACATCATCGTAGTGCACCACTCCAGGATAGTTGCTCTCAACCACCCTCCTGGCCGACGCGTTGCGCTCCACAGAGATATAGCCACAAACCGAGACGTTTTGCAAGTTCATGGCCACACGGAGGGCACCTATGCCATCGAACAGACTCACCACCAGCACCTGGTGCTCAGGACCTGACCTCGAAGCCCCCCTTGCGCTACCATAGTCCCTGTTGGGGTCAGACCTGAGGATCGACAGACACCACCTCCAGATGTCGACGCGTCACTGCAAGTTACCATGGGGTGCATGTCCAACCTGAAGTTCATGCGCACGAGCGGTAGAAGGGCAAGGAACCTCAGGAGCTCTGCTCTGCACTCCGCCGTCAGAGGCTTGTACAGTGCTCCCGAATCATTGAACGACTCCACGAAGGTCCACACCGAGTTCAACGCTCCAAGGACTGGCCGCCTGAACATGCTGAAGTACACTAGACCCCCACACACGACCTGAACTTGCCGCTGGCTCACGTACTTTTGCCCCAAGAGCTTCAACGTCATGCTGAAGTACTTCTCGAGGTAGGCCAGACCGATCTTGCCATCGACAGTCGCACCTTGCAGCTCACACTTGCCCGACCTCTCAACGGCCTTTTTCTCATTTCTTGGCACCGACCACACGCAGTACTCCTGTCGCAACGCCTTAATCTGATCGGCCACCGTCCCTTCACAATCTATCATGCCTGTGGCCGTGACCTTCTCGAGCAAGTCATAGTTGTCCAAGTACACCCTCCAAGTAGAGTTCGCCGCGGAGAATGGGCGGTCCTTTCTAAGCTCCGTGTTTTCAAGAGCTGATCGTTCTTTCAAGCCATACGACCACTTCACAAGGTTCCGGTGCACGTTTTGCGCAAGGCTCACCGAGTTCAAAAAACCCATAGGTAAGACCCTTGAAGCAAGGTAGACCGTTTTGCCCTCCAAGTGGGGTGGTAGGACATGATCAGGGACAACCTTGTTAAACGCCAAGAACTTGCTCCAGCATTCAGGAACCCACATGGTATAAAAGAAACACTTCACATCTTCAGATGATACCAAGAGGTTCTCGGAGTCAATGGTCGCCCACAACGTTTGCAAGAGGTTGATGGAGGTGGGGAGTGGGAACAAGGCGGTGTCCCCACAACCCGTGAGCTGGCTGCGAAGTGATGTGACCTCCATCAAAGGCTGGAGTAAAAACGACCCCCAAGTTGCTGAACACTCCTCCCATCCAAATCTAAAGCGCTTTCTCCTTTTTCCATCACGTCCTGACAAGGTTGTTGATGCGAAGGTTCATCCTCTACGACTTCAAAGCGCGGAGGGTTCGGCGGGAAGGCACCGCCACCATGGAGTCGTTGACTGAGTGGCCAACTTCGTAGCGCAAACTCGATCCCAAACCACATCTCCCGGGGGACAGCCTCCAGCCGTCAAGTCAGGAAGATTCGACTTGCCACCATTCTCCAAGCTGTCAACCAAGGGGTCTAAATTTAGACCCCGCTTTTGGGCCCGCTCCCGACAACAGGAGCTCATTTCGTAGTGTCCTCCTTGGCCTTCGTCCTGTCTGCTTTGCCCGAGCCCTTCGACTTTCCTTTCCCCTTGGGATGGTCGTAGCGCTCCCTCTCCTTCTCTTTTGACTTGCCTTTGCCCTTCCGGCCATCGGGCAATCCTGCCAGATGCCTCACTTTGGATTCGCTGTAGGCATCCTTTTGGGCGGCCGGCAGTTCCTGTGCAGCTGCCAGGAACAAGCCCTCTTGAGGCGCAATTTCCATGCGTTGAGCCACCGACCAGTGGGCGCCGCTGAGGACGCTCTCTATGGACTTCAGCCTCTGCCTCATCAAGTCGGCTGCTCGAGCCGGATGTCCCTTCAGCAGCCAGTCGAGTGCTGCTGAAAGGGTCACAAGCTCCCTTTGCGTGGGTCCCATCGCTCGCTTCTGCAGCTGCTGTCGGTAGTAGCTCAGGCACACTGGCTGCACCCCTGCCGGCCGGGCATCCTCTCCAATGCTCTGCAAAAGATTCTGCCTCATCATCTTGACCGACAGACAACACAGAGCCCCTGGGAAGGCGTCCGACAACTTCTTCAAGCGACTGTCCGCCTCGAAGAGCTCCACATCCTCCGGATCCTCCTCGATCGATGTCTCGCCTTCTGACCCCGAGCGACTCGACGAAGAGCTGCGATCGGCCTTTGCATGCTTGGCCCGCTTCCTGGCGCGCCGGGCCACCCTCTTCCTCACGCGCTCCCGTGGATCCAAACCGGTTCCCCGGTATAAGCTCAGGAGGCTCTTTTGCGATGCAGACCGGGGCCTCTTGCCATCGTCTCCCACGCTCGAGCTGCTTGAGCTCACGCTCACCTCCTTCTTCTGCTGCACCTCGGCCTTGCTCTTCCGGGCCTTCTTTGAACTCTTGGCCGATGCTGAACTGCTCTTCTTTGCCTTTTTCTTTTTCTTTTTCTTGCCCTTGGACTTTTTCTTGTCCTTCTTCTTGGAACCGGCATCCTTCTCTGGCTCGTCCGGCTTCTTCCCTTTGGCCACCTCTACGTCGGCGGACAAGCGGAGGGCGTCCCGAGCTCGAAGATCTCGAAGTTCGTCCTCTTCGTTGGGATCTGCCTTCAACAAATTGCGAACCCAAGGCTCCTCCTCGCTTTGCCCCTTCATGAGGCGGGCCTTCTGCACGTGCACCAGGTCGTCCGCCACGACTTCCCCAGTGCACTCCTCGGTGCACCGATGACAATGAAGAACAATGTCCGGCCTGCCCGAATAGAAGCGAAGAAGTGCCTCCGAGGTTGTCGGTGTTGGCTGACGAGAAGGTGAACGGCGCCGCTTTCTATCGTGACCCCTTTGATCACTCCTGCCAGGCTGGCCGGGGCCATAAAGTAAGTGATCTCTGGGAACACGACGCTCATCCCCTTTCCGAACTCCTCCACGGGGACATGCATCAAGGGCACCACGGCCCCGCTCAACCATTGCTCCCGATGCCCAGGAGCTGCCACGTCTGCTGGGGCTCGAGCGGGTCGACGGAAGGGATGCCGAAGTACCCCCACCCTCCTGGGTGGACGAGGGCTGGCTGCTGGCCTGGCAAGGCCTTTTGCTTTTGGCTTGGCTTTGGGCGCCATTGCTCCTAGTAGTATCGACCTGCTTTACGATCGATCCCTCTCTGGCGGTGTTTGGCTCCTTCGAGCCTCTCGGCCTCTTGGCTGGGCTCCGGGACCGAGGTCTCCCCTGCCAGTAGGCTCCTTGTCCTCCGCGGCCGCCTTTGCGATCAGGTGGAGGGTGGCTCGGTGATCGGGGCCTCCGAGGAGGCGGTGGTGGTGGCAAGAGTCTTGGGAAGACGGGGTGACTTGCCACTGGCTTTGGGGCCGGCTTGAGGCCCTGCTGGTCCAGTCCTTCGTCCTCGATGCTGGATGGACGGGCTGGTTGGCTCCTCTGTGGACTCTTCTCCTCGATCGGGGTCGCGGGCTCCTCGACGGAGTAGTGTCCTTCGGACTCCTCCTTGCGCTCTTTGCGCTTCCTTCGTTCCCTCTTTCGCTCCTTCTTTTCACCGCCTTCCTGACGCTTCTTCCTTTTCTTTTCTTTGGCAGGTTTCTTTGGTTCTTCAACCCTGACCTCAGCCTCCTTATCTGCTTCTTCTCCTTCGTCTTGAACTTCTACTTCAGCAACAGGCTCCTTCGATTCCTCGTGCTCCTCCTTGGTCACCGCGTCCTTGGCCTCCTCGCCACACAACCAGGAGTTGCTGCTACTCCCGCTGTCGCCTCACCAACTGCCGGCTTTTCGACCACCGATTCAAGAGCCCCGGAGGTCTCTCGTTCGGCCTGAAGGACCGGGGCCGCCTCTTCGGCCAAGTCAACAAGGGCCCCTGCCGCCCCTCTGAGGGCCTGAACGACGGCCGCTTCCTGCGACCTCAGTAGTAGGCCTCCTTGAAGTAGCTCCCTGATCCGTCTCAGGGTACGGCAAGAGGCGCAGATCGGGCCACCGAAAAGGCGGCAACTCGAACAGGACATAAAACTGAAGCCAACACTGCAGAAAACAAGTAAGTGAGAAACATCTTAACCTACGGGGACGCAGATACATATCATATATATATATAGTCCTATATATATATCGTTATATTATACACCTACGCCCGCAAATAAAAGTGGCTATATAAATTCGGAGGCCTCATCAATTGCGATGAAAAATGAAATGGCCGGATCACATCAAAAGGTCCATAACCCTCGCCAAAGAGTGACACAAAGAATGCAAAAGTCCCTGCCCAATTGGACTCCAAGAGTGCATTCAAGAGTGGCCAATCAAGAGTGCATCTCCAACAGCAAGACGAGGCGTGTAAAGTGTAAACCCATGTTGAAACCCAATAGCCCGGTTAAATGGCGTTGCGACCTGAGGCCTGCTCTGTAATTGGTCATGGTGACCGCGCAGCGCCTGCAAGGAAAAGTCAAGTTTCAAGTTTCTGCATGCAACGAAGCCGGGACAGGAGCAAGGACGCTACTGGGAGCAAAGGGCATCGCTACTAGGAACAAGGACGCTACTAGGGGCTCCTGGCCTTACTAGTAACAAGAAGCTATTAGAATCAAGAAGTCATTAGAATTGACGATGTAAAACGAAACTACATGGTGTTGGTTCCTGCAGGCCGCCACTTTTCAACAGACACATGTGTGGGACACGTCCTTTTCAACCTTCGTTGGGAGTCCAAACGGCAGTTTGCCTTGGAAGAGAAACCATTGTAGAAGTGGCTTACACAGCGTTCGAAATGCTTCGCGCACCCACGGTCGACATGTTACAAATCAAAGCACCTTAAACTGACCCGCAGTACAAGCACCGGTGGAAGCATAGTCCACGTTGCACCTGGCCTGCTTTGACAGTCGTCCTTGCGGGTCTCTGCCCGCACCTCAAGCACAGCGCAGCAAACGAAGAACAAAATGAGAGCTGGGATCCCACAATTATTGAGACAAAAGAAATGAATGAAACAACCACGGGCTGGAATGCAGTAGCACCTTTCTTGGGCTGCCCTTAAGTTCCTGGCCAAGATGCTGCTCGAGGGCGCCGATAATCTGCCTGAAGCAACTCCAGTGTTGTTGAATGCGGCAAGGCCGCATTGCCTATGTGGAAAAACAAAGAATACATCTATAGATTTAGGCGCAGTGCAACATGCAACATAACAACAGAGACAGTACTTGAGTACAGTTTACACATCATAGCACCTCATCATACTCAGGCAAGCAGAACAAAGCTTCATAATGTCAAGTAATGGCCTGGCGGTCAGCCATCTGAGCTTCCAGCTTGCGAAATGCGGTCTAGTCCAAGCGGGGTCACAGGCGCTTGACTGCCCTACAAGTGTGCCAGCTCAGATTAACTTAAACTCTTGTTTCATCGTATATATAGTACGGATGCCTATCCCCCGACCAGTTCAAATAGAAGATGGCTCACAAGCACGGAAATACAACTAGAAGATACTATTTGGGACAACCGCGGCGGTTTCCCGGGATAAAGAGGTTGATGTTCGCTGATGCAATCTACACATTTTAAGCAAGCCGACAGGTGGGAACGCCTCACTTCACTGCATTCCAGCATCTGTGCATCGCGCCACTCATCTTCAGACTATAGCACACTGTGTGACTGTTGCAAAAAAGGCTCGCAGTAACCAGGATGGCCTTCGCAACCCGCAGTATTTCGTGCCACAATCGCTCACGATCAGTAGCCCGCCTCCATCATGCCAAAAGTAGTGTCAATTTCGAGGTGGTCTTCACAAGACATCAAGCCACAAAGGACTCATCTCGTCTGAATAATCTGTTTCGCTGCACCGCCCACTACTGTGGGCAAGGCTGAATTGACCTACCCTCAACACGGCCATTCCAGCATTGCAATTGCCAATGGGAATTGTGTGAGTTCTCACAATTCAATATGTCAAGCTGTCAAGCCAATAAAAACAATTATGAATAACCTCTTCTTGAACGCTTTCGCATTCAGCATTTCATGCATTACATGTGCATGTGCTTGTCGGATTTCTCACTTTCATGTCCCGTGGCCATCAGGGCCCTTGAGTACAGGAGGTTACGACCCCGAAACGAAGCGTTGAAACAGGTGCGGAACTCGTTCGCCGTTCTACCTGAACAAGCAGATTGGTAGCGGAGCTGGACACGATCTAGCTTCGGTGACCTACGTCAGTGTGGTGCTCTTCGTTTTCTTGCTGAAAGACGAGGGTAAGCTCATCACCTATGTCGGCTACGGAGCGGGGGAGCCCCAGAAGAACCCCCGTGAGGAGAGCGAGAACTTCGCAATCCGAGGCCGTGAACCCAAGGCCCAGGCCTGCTGGAGGAGGACGAGGTTTGTTCGCTCAGGTGGAGGAACAGCCGTTGCAGTTGCCTTTCACCCCAAGTCACCGAGGAGGTTTGGATTCAGGCTTAGCCAAAGCCTGCCCTGATGCAGAGGGATTGAACCAAAAGTCATATCGTAGCTACAGAAGACGGCTTGAGTTGTTCGAGAAACAATGTGAACGACGAGGGCATGAAACTATGGTCGAAGGTGCCTACTTGGTGGTAAGCAGGTTGAAAGACGTCGCATGGGACGCCACGAACAGCTCGACTTTGATGACATCGAGAATGCCACAAAGCCCTTCAAGGCCGTGTTTCGCTTGCTGGACGAGCTGTATCAGTATGAGGATTTGATTGAGGTTCCCTCTCGCTGCGACGAGTTCTTCTCAGAGTTTGGTCGCAACAAAGGAGAAGAACTCCAGGCCTATCTCATCCGCCACAAGACGCTCCTGAAGCGGATGAAGGAAGTGAATGTGGAGGTGCCACCACTCCTTTCTGGCTGGCATCTGCTCACCCGTGCAGGTGTTCCACGTTGGACCCACGTCCAGATCAAGGCCATGTGTTCAGGCGACCTGGAGTACGAGAAAGTCGGAAAAGCCTTGATCCGAATGTTCGGAAGCGATCATCGCCCGAATGCACGAGATCTTGTTCGTGTTGATGCCAACGCCAAGGAGGAGGCCTACTATGAAGAAGAAGCTGAAGAAGATTGGTATGATGAGTTCATGGTGGAAGATGGCTATGAACCTGAGTGGTACGACGATGAGGCCTACTTCGAAGAGGATGAAGAGATCCCTGAAGAGCTCGAAGAAGCAATGGAGATGACTGACGAAGCATACGTCAGCTATGTGGAGAGCCGCAAGAGGATGAAGGAACTCGCCTTGTCGAGGGGATTTTACCCCGTGGTTGCACTCGGCCCGGACTTTGAGAAGAGCAACTACAAAGGAGGCAAGGGAGACAGCGGCAAAGGTGGAAAAGGAAAAGGAAAGAATGGTGGAGGAAAAGGAAAGGGCAAGTCCAAAGGAAAAGGTGGAGGATTCTTTCGGAAGACGCCCTTCAACCGAAGACCTATGTCAGGATTGAGGAAACCCTTTTCTTCGACCTCTACATCCACTGGCGAGAAGTCCACTCTTTCTGGATCCACATCACAACATGGACCCAGATTCAAGAGGTATCGAAGTCAGAATCAAGGTGTGAAGGAAGTGCCAGAGGAGATCACGATGGTGGAGGAAGTGGCCGTCATGCAGCAGGAGGAGGAAGACATGAAGATCGATGAACAGTGTTTCTTCCTGGTGACCGAGAAGGGCAAAGCCATTGTCGACAGTGGGGCCACGAGGACCATCGTTGGAGAAGAAAACTGGCGGAAATGGCTGGAAGCCTATGATCCGAACCTGGCCAAGGAGATCATTTCGAGGCCAGTCAAGAGAAGCTTCAAGTTCGGCGGAGGCGAAATGCTGCAGTCGCTCTATGAGGTGGAGTTTGAGGCTGTGATCCATGGTCAGAAGCTTCCCGTCATCGCCTCAGTGGTTCCGGGAGCAACTCCGTTCCTTCTGGCAAGGCCAACTCTGGAGAGTTCGGGGGTCATCCATGACTACAGGGAGGGTCGCATGAAGATCGGCGACTCCAGCTGGTTCACCCCTGAACGCAATGCCAGAGGACACTACATCCTGGACCTGATGATGTACAAGGATGACAATGTGAATGAAGAAGCCTATGGACAGTTCGAGCTTGAAGATGAGAAGTTTGGCTTGCCAGGTGTGGAGTTGATCGATGAGCCTAATGACACCTGGGACATCGAGCCACAGATGGAG